GCCAAAAAGACTGTAGTCAGCGAGCGACAATGGTCAGAAGGATCATAATCGGTTGACGAGAGTGGTCAGAAAGACCATTGTTTGGCATCAGTTGTCACCGGGGGGTGTTGGAGTTTGACTTCCGTCAATGGCTGAGTGGAAGTCCTGCGTCAGTCGGTGGCTGAGCAAAAGTTCGGTGTTAGTTGTTGACCGGACGAAAGTTTGGCGACGGTCGGTGGCCGAGGAGGAGTTTGGTGGCAAGAGAACTCTATTTTTCTTTCTTCATTCACTTCCTTCTCTTCTTTGCTTCCCCTACTTCCATCCCCTTTCCATGAGAAATGAGGAATTTATTTATAATTTTTTGAAAGTGACATGACTAGTAAATAGGAGGGAGATTAAGGATATGTTGGGAGTGGTTTGAGTGGATGGCTGATATTGATCCCCTTAATCGTGTTTTATTTACTGGACATTTGAATATCTTAATGATATCAGAATTTGGCAATCATGGGCTCGTTGGATTCCTCTCATTGAGCCGCTTGATTCGACTATAAGCATGTCACGTTTGGAAACCGTTTGGTCATCCAATTTATGATTTCAGCCTTCTAAATATGCTTCGGGTCTTTGATTTAGACCCATTTGGGCTCAAAGTGGGTTGAATTTGGTGTCTTTGGTGTGCCTTTTTGAGACGTTTAGTTCAACTCTAAGTTTGCTGAAATCGGAATTCATATGGTTCCGAATTTAATTTTGGAAATTTCCAACTTGATTTTGCCTCGAGATTCGTGCCCGATCAAGATAAATTTGTGATGATATATCAATTATAATTTTTTTATTTCTCTAATCAATTTCTAACTAAAAAATCCTTTTTAAATGATAAAAAATATTGAAGAAAAAATAATATTGAATTCTATCTCAATGGTATATTCATGATAATATTATCATGAAACTATTGATAATATATATATATATATATATACATATATACATCACAGTATGTTTGTAAACATTAAAATCACATCATTTGGAGCACATACAATCTCTAATAGATTGAAGTAAGGCAAACCATATTATTATGGATCAACCCAACTTTTTTCAATCACCACCTTACATTGCATCATCATATAAATACATGAGGGAGAATGTGCAGGAGGTGATCTCCTTCCTAGTTGTCACCCTCGAGTCATCATAACTGGCCCCACTTAGTTGGAATACCTATAAGTTGCATGCCAATAACCTAGGTTTCATACCATTTGTGATAAAAGTGGTATTCTCAAAGATAAGAACATGTTCTTATTAAATAAGTGGTGTATTACCACCATTTTATAAACCCAAATCAGAGATCATAAACATTATTACAATTATTTGTGTTAGTCTAATAATCAAAACTTTAATTCACTAGAATTGATGTGTTATTGACATTAACATCTATGATGTGAGATATATAAAGTCTAGATTACAAAGATCACCAATGGCCACACCAAACTGATAATCTTCGGTCATCAAATCATTGTTGGACTTTTGTCATCAAATCTTAGTCATTCGATCATTGTCATCAAACCTTCGTCATTCGATCATTGTCATCAAACCTTCATTGCTTGACGATTGTCATCAAATCGCAGCCACCCAATCACCATGATCAAACCATCGTCAAACCCTTGCTTCCCAATTTCCTCTATCAAATTACCGCCGTCTAATCAACATTATCATATCATTGTCACTCAACTACAACCATCCAAAGGGCTTTCATCCTCTACGGACTCTGCCATATTTTCTACCAATTCCACAGTGTTGTAATCTTGACATCTCCAAGTTGAGGGACGAGAAAACCTTTGCGATCAATATTCATATAGTGGGATCATTTTGGTTGGACAAGGCCCCATGACTTTTTCCCTTCTCATGTTTTCCATGTAAAATTTTTTGTATCAACCATACTCTTTTGGTTTATTTGTCTATGTGTTGCATTCTCACGCAAAACTAGAATGCAAAAACCCTAACTCTATCGTTGAGAATTTTCTAGACCACCAAACCACCATAGTTTGATGCCATATGTGGGAACTAATTATTGGTTTAGGGTAACATCTACAACAACCTCAAAAGGTCATTTACGTTAATGCCACGGGCATGGTTATAGCTAGGCAATCCCTTTATCATCAACCAAATTATGAATTCTAAAAAAAACATGTCAAGATTGGATGTAACTCCAATTATACTTAATTTCAAATTGTAGTTTGATAAATCCTTTCAATTATTATACATTACTGCATCGATTTCATGAGAAGAAGTTTAGGATTGGGAGGCAACATTGATTGTAGAGAAATATTTATGTTAACATATTGGACATGATTATTGTCAACCAAGTATTCCCATCCAATAATTTCATATATATAATAGATTTTTTATTGACAATGATCTTTCTTGAAGCTTCTAACAAATTAATATAATTTTTTTTTTTTAAAGAAAGCTTCAATCTCTATAAAGTCCTTAACCAGACTTCGATTCCCTGAGCAAGTTTATTGTCTTGACTTCAAAAAAAATAGTACGACCTAACAACACATAAATATTTACCTTCAAATTTTGAAACATGTGATGTTTGTCCTCTCTCAATCAACTATAACCTTTCTTAGAGGGATTTGATTCAACATCTTTCACACATGTTAATATCATCAAGTAATGCTCTGACAAATTATAATATATGTTGTTTTAGGACCCAACTAGTTAACCTAATCTAGGATAAATCCTCACTTATTCTAATTTAGTTATTAATTATAAGTTATATAGTGTCTAATTAGCTATAAATAGGTTTAAAAACTGAAATAGGGAAGAGAAATCATTGGAGGTCGAGTGGTCTAAGGGGCATTGTGGCTGTGATAGTAGCCACATCGTGTCGTTATCCTCTCTATATTGTGATGAGAATTGAGGAAGCGTTGTTGTGCTAGGTGTCGCAGAAGTGGCGTTGAGCTTTCAGTTTAGAGGAGTTTGAGGGAATCTAAAATATTCTGGCCGAACTCTGCGATGTTGTAAGCCTTAAATGCGATATTCGAGTATCGTTAAGGATCATTCCTTGATCATCATCAATAATCTTTAAACACTTAGAAATCAATTTTTCTCTTTTTTTGAAAGAGATCTAGATCATGCATGCGAAATTCAAGTATTGAAAGTCTCCAATAATTTTTAAACTCTTGCTAAATAGCTTTTTTCTCATTTTGCGTGAGAGAACTAGAGCATGCATTAAAAAATTGAGCCTTGATTGCATCCAATGATTTTTAAACTATCACCATACAGTTTTTTTCCTCCTCTAATAATGGAGGACTCGAGCTTATGTTAGAAACCAAGTCTTGAATGCCTCCAATGACTTTTAAACTCTTATGAGATAGTTCTTTTTCCCATAAATATGGGGGATAACCGGAGATTGGATTAGAAAATTAGGCTTTTATCAATTGCAATTAAAACATCAAGTAAACATAAAAATAATTAAATATTAAAAAATAATAGTATATATTTATATATTACGAAAAGTTAAAAAAAAAATTAAACAAGAAAAATAAATAAAAAAGTGTAATTAAACTGTTATGAAAAACATAAAGAGAATATTAGAACTAAATGTGAAGAAATATATAGATATTTTATGGCAAGTTAGGACAAAAGAGTTTTTAAGGGGAACAATTATTACGTCCTCCGACGGGATGCAGAGAAACATCCGGTGGCAGGCAAAATCCCGCTGTACCTAGGTGTACCGAGTTTTTTTCGAAAAACTCGGTACACCTCGGTACAGCGGGATTTTGCCTGCGACCGAATGTTTCTCTCATTCGGTCGACCAGACCAAATAAAACTTCTTTTAAGGGGGGGCAAAAAAAAATTTAGGAGGGGCAAAAAGTTTTTTTTACACTCCTATAATTTTTTTTTTTACTTCTATCGGGGGGGGGGGGGGGGGGCAATTGCCCCCCCTAACTAATAGATGGTTCCGCCCCTGCATACGGACGCTATTCAGAGGTGAATCAAAGTGAGCCATGACTGTGTACTCGTTGTGTACCAGGTGACGTGGCGCTCTCTAATTCACCATCAAATGATCTGGCGTCTGCACATAATATTTTCTTCTTATCATGAGGGTGGAACTATGGCTAGCTAATAGTACATGCTGTTTTTGTGCAAGAAATTATATTTTGGCTTTTGAAAATAAACTTTATGATTGGAAGTTAATAAGAGTATAGTAGTTGGGGAAAAAAAGTGTTAAAAGGCGAAAAAAGAATTAAGTGTTCTACATATTAATTAAGAAGTAGTTATTTATGAGGTTAAGTAATAACTAATTAAACTATTAGTGAAGATCATTAAAGTTTTATTGATATTTAACTAAACTAATAATAACATGCGTCATCTCCCATTTTTCGCTCCTGCCGAAAGTCCCGAAACCCTCTGCGACAAGGCAGAGGCGAGGAAGGCGCCACGGGAGCTTGGGGAGGCTTCGACGGAACCGGCGGCGTGTGAGGGATCAGAGGAGTTCGTGTGGGATGCTTTCTTTGGAAGTCATGGACGGGGTTTGCTGCATGTAAAGAAGAAGAGGAGTTCGTGGTGGAACTCGCTGGGTGAAGGCATCGACGGTACTTGCGGCTTGTGAAGAAGAAGAGGAGTGCGTGACGGGAGCTCTCTGGTGGAGGACTCCGACGGATCCGTCGGCTTGTGAAGGAGGAGAGGAGTTCGTGACGGGAACTCATTTACGGACGGCATCGACGGGGCCGACGGCTTGTGAAGGAGAAGAGGAATTCGTGAAGGTAGCCCGCTGGGGGAAGAGACGCCGCGGATTTAAGTTAAATTCCAAACATTTCATAGAATTCAAATTCTCCATTTTTACTGTTTGGCAATGTTTAAGTTATGTATTGCTTAAATCTACTTAAAACCTGCCACCAATGAGCCCCGTATGGTTTTTGGTTCGATTTTAGATTTTCTTTAGAATGGGTCCATACTTCTGCTTTTGGACATTTTTGTGATTTTTTGGTGACTTAGAGAAAGTGCTCTAATGGCTCTTTGATGGGTGTTGTTGCTGGAATTATTTCGAAACATGAAGGATGTTTGCATTTGGATGCTCGAGTGATTATCTTTTATTTTCTTGTAGTTGTGTTCCACGTTGGTGCTTGTAGAGAATTTATATGCTGGTCAAACGTGTGGTGATCTCCATATTTGTGGTTCCGTGACGTATGAGGAAACTTTGAGTAGATTGTCTTTTTACTCGATCGATTAAGAAAGCAAAGGAGCATCACGTTTTTCTTGCACATAACGTGTTACTGTTTTGTTAGAATAAAAATGAAAGCTGGTAAAAGAATTCCATGCAGTGATACACATTGCCTTTGTGGAATGATTTTGAGCTTTCAGAAGGTCTATTGTCCAGAATGCCTTCATTGGGAAGCTTTTTAATCCCTGTAGTCCTTGTAGAATTGGAATGACGAGTATCTTGGAATAGCTGTATCTGATGGAACCCATAGTGTCAAGAACTTGTAAGTTGTAACGTTTTACTTTTACGATGATAAAAAACTAGATAGCAACAATTTGGTAAAAACAGATTGTTTTGATGCTTTTTTATGGAGAACTTGTATGATACTATAAGAATAACTGTTCTTATCACGGAAGGAACTTTTCATGCAGTTTATATGAGAAAAGTAGTATCAATTTCTTCCCAAATAGAGTCAGTAATATGTTAGCTCCCAACATTTTATTGGTGAAGAGGGTTGCGAAGGTGACTTGATCAACATAATCTATGCTATTTCTTCACTTTCTTTAAGGAGAATCCTACTGTAGCTACCTTAGTTTGTTGGGTTTTAATCACGAGATATTCTTTTGACTGTTATACACTTTTTTGAAATGTACCCGTACACAAATATGTTTATTATTTTTATAGATATTCTTGATTGAGTTAACTTCGTGGTCCTTATTGTAACAAATGGATGGCATAGTGAAGTTTAACATAACACTTGATCTAGAAAAAACACAGGGTAGTGTGAAGGAGGAAGTTTTTATTATGGAATTTATTGCCTTACTAATTATGTTACCGAGGTTTAATAACTTTTGCTGAAGATAAGCTCTTGACTTTTGATTTACATAAAGATCCTTCTATTTAAATTTAGACTTCTTTTTGCATTTTGTGGGATGTAAATGGGTTTTCATTGTGAAATATCTCTATGGAACCATCAAGAGATATAAAGGACTTTGAAATGATTCAACTAAACTAATGGAATCTACTATTATGAAACCTTTTTCTCTGTGGCGAAACTAAACACTATTTGGGCCTTTTCAATGGCAGTCAATCTTGACTGTGCGCTTCACCATAACATGTTAAAAATGCATTCTTAAATGGTGACTTAAATAATGAGCTCTACATAGATCTTGCTCTAGTGATCAACGATTTGGGTAGCTAAGCATAGTTTTCGAAGTGAAAATATCTATTTATGAGCTCAAGTAATCTTTTTGAGCCTGTTTTGAAAGGTTCAGAAAAGCTGTGGGTCAACAAAAGTTCAAATAGACTCACTTTGTCCATACCGTCTTCTACAAATACAAGGATGAAAACTCTATCATACTAAATGTGTATGTTGATGATATTATTTTTATAAGAGGTAAAGAGTTGGAGATAGTATCATGAAGAAAAAACTGATGGAAGAGTTCGAAATCAAATCCTTTGACATCGGAAGTATTTTCTTGGAATGAAAATCTATAGAACAAATATGACGTCGCTATCTCTCAACGAAAGTATGTCATAGATTTCTTAAAAGAAAAATGCCATTATTGAAAGCAAACTAGTCGATGCTTCAACTAATCATAACATTAAATTGACCCATTTCAACTCTGGTTCTTTATTTGATAAAGAAAGATATCAAAAGTTAGCGTAAAACTTGCATATTTGGCTCATACTAGACTTGGCCTAGCCGTTATTGTTAGTTTGATAAGTTAGTTCATACACGTCCCTCATGAAAACCCATGAATGTTGTTCCTAGTTTACTTAAATACTGAAGGGAAACCCTAGAAGGGGACTTTATCTTTAAGAAAGAAGAATCCAAAATTATAGTAGCCTATCCTAATGTCGATTGGGTTGAGTCTATAGTGGACAAAAGATATGGTTCAGGGTTAAATTCGATGCAAATATGCAAATTTGTACAAATTACTTGAGTTAACAAAAGCTGCTAACTTTTATGCATCTAAAATTTAATGATTCAAACAGGAACTCAACATCCAGCATGTTGAAGTTGTCAAATTAATTGACTGGTCAATTCTACTTACTGATATTTTTGGTTATTTGCAGAAGAAATTAACCAGTCCGCGTCCACCTAAATTTTTTTACTAATATGTGCACATTTTTTATTTTGCTATGATTTCTCTGCTTTTTACTCCAGTTCTAAATATTTTGATAATATGTGATTTAAAACACTCCTCCACTTATATATAAACATTTAATGTCGCAGCTCATGGCATACATTTTCCTTGCAGGGTTAAATTTGTACTATTAAATTTGAGCTCTGGTGAAAGTGGTGTTCCCTTCCTACCGGTTATCTGTTTCTCTGTTTAATGCTTCATAAGCGTATAAGTAATTGAGCTGATAGAGGTTTACAATTTGGTTAATGGGCACAAACAAACACTCAATTGGTCCATTGTTGGACACCCTCAAAATGGAGAGGGTGAGGACGATTCTGACTCATACTTACCCATATCCGCATGAACATTCAAGACATGCTTTGACTGCAGTAATTGTCGGATGTCTTTTCTTCATCTCATCGGATAACATGCAAACCCTCATTCAGAAATTGGACAAGAATTTCAAATGGTGGTCCATGTATATTTGCCTGTTTGGTTTCTTCTACTTCTTCTCGTCCCCGTTCGTCAGAAAGACCATAAAACCAAGCTATTCAAACTTTAGTCGTTGGTATGTGTACTTCTAAATCATTTCTAAGAAAGTTGTTGTAGGGTGTAGACACTTTAACAAGATTATATTAGTTTAGTAAAAGAAGCGATTTATGCATGTTAAGTACTTATTAATGCCATGCTTTACCTTTTTATTGTTTTGTTTGAATGGACTTCAGGTATATTGCTTGGATATTTATGGCAGCCATATATCATCTTCCTAGTTTTCAATCAATGGGAGTTGATCTGAGAATGAATCTATCGCTGTTTCTTACTATATACCTTTCATCTGTCCTCTTTCTGATCGTTTTCCACATAATATTTCTTGGCCTTTGGTATGTCGGCCTTGCTTCTCGTGTGGCAGGCAGACGGCCCGAAATTCTGACCATTATTCAAAATTGTGCGGTAATTGTCTAAAATCATCATATCTCATGGTTTTACCTTCCAATTCTTTTCCCCATGCTTCAGAAGCATGCCCATTATTTCCTGTTTGTCTTGTTGCAGGTTATAAGTGTAGCATGCTGCGTATTTTACAGTCACTGTGGGAACCGTGCTTTCCAAAGTGAGAGTTCTCTTGATCGAAGGAGCTTTGGTTGGTTTCCAACCTTCACATTTTGGCAAAAGCATGATCAAAACACTTGGATATCTAAATTCTTGCGCATGCATCAATGGAAAGAACAAGTCTGTTCATCTTGGTTCGCTCCTGTTGGATCTGCCAGTGATTACCCATTCTTCTCTAAGTGGGTTATCTATGGCGAGGTACTTCACTCTGTCCGCTTCATTCCATAACTTTTTATCAGTTAAAATATCATAGCATCTATATTTGTATTAACATCATTTTCGTTGTTCTGTCATGCAGCTAGCATGCAATGGATCCTGCACTGGTTCATCACATGAAATATCTCCGATATATTCCCTGTGGGCAACCTTTATTGGCCTTTACATTGCCAATTATGTGGTTGAGTGTTCGACTGGGTATGAAGAATCTATCATCCTTTATATTTGATTGTCAACATAGGTAGATACAAGATACGATGTTAAGCGAAAATGCTCCAAAAACTATATTGTTATTGCTCAAATACAATTTGTTGTTTTATTGTTTGTTTTCAGTTATTCCTTGAATAATTCTCCGTTCCTGAGATTCTTGCTTGGTCTTTGCAGCTGGGCTCTTACCCACCCACTAACTATTTCTGAATACGAGAAGATAAAAAAACAAATGAAACCTGATTTCCTGGATATGGTTCCATGGTATTCAGGGTACTCTCCTACATCCAATATCACACCCCCTTCTGCGTTTCTCTAGTCCTTTCTCATATCTTCTTTTCCTTAGTATTATGATGTCAGGGTGATGCTAACAAATTTGCTTTTTTGCATTTAAAGGACATCGACTGATTTATTTAAGACCGTGTTTGATCTTATGGTGTCAGTGACTCTTTTTGTTGGGCGATTTGATATGCGCATGATGCAGGTGAGGCTCAGTTTTATTTCATGTTTATTAGGTGCTCCAAGAGATTTTTGAAACATTCATGATAATCTCCCGTAGTGGGACAAAGGCTTGATGTTGCATGATAATCTCCACAATTTTCTTGTATAACATGCTAACAGATTTACATATATGCAGTACCATAAGAAGGTGCTATGCTCCAATGTAACTGATTTGCATTTGGATCTATTTTGTCTCTGCTTCTTTTCATTTATTTTCAAAGATATCATTGTGTTATAATCAAAGGACCATCTGCTTTAAGACTGCTTTGATCTTTTTCTTATACTATGCATTTAAGCTTTATTGTTTTTTCCAATTCTTTCAATCTTAATTAGACCAGCTTCCTTGTTTATATGTGTCTACGTATAAATATTTTGATTCAGCTTATGTTATTTTTATTTTTCTTTGCCCTAGGCTGCCATGAACAAGGTCCCTGATGAATCTAAAAATGGTGATCTTTTATATGATCATTTCTGCATGAAAGAGGACCTCTGGTTTGATTTCATGGCTGACACAGGAGATGGTGGAAATTCAACTTATGCTGTCACGCGGTTGCTGGCCCAACCTTGGATTCGAGTGAAGAATGGTGGTTCCAAGCATGCTCTTCCACGTGGAGACTTCCTTCTTATTGGAGGGGATCTTGCGTAAGCTGCATTTCTTTTCACTTATGATCCTTAGAAAACTAAATTGATATTTGAAGTTGAGGCCAGGTCTATTTTTCCATTTTCATTGCTTTCTTACCACAGTTGAATCATTTATTTTAATATTTCTTTGATATCATTATAGTATCTCCAAGGGTAAACTTATAAAATATTAGGAATCCCTTTTACCATTCGCTTGAAATATTTTTGGTATTTTATCGATTGGCTTGAATAATATATAGCGCTCTTGCCCCCTGATTTCCTTTCCCAAGTACCAAGCATTGAATCATAGCAATGAGAAAGTCTTTATCTGTATGTGCTGTAACATGCTTATCATTATTACCTGTTTTTTTTTTTTTTTTTTTTTTTTTTTTTATTACCTGTTTTTTTTTTTTTTTTTTTTTAATTTGGTTTATTTATAAAAGGTTTTTGCATTTTGAGTAGGTACCCTAATCCCTCTGCATTTACATATGAAAAGCGCTTTTTCCTTCCATTCGAGTATGCTTTGCAGCCTCCAACATGGTATAAGCCAGAACATATAGCAGTAAATAAGCCAGAGCTTCCTTTTGGGGTCGTCAAGCTGGAGCAATATGATGGACCTCAGTGTTTTGTAATTCCTGGCAACCATGGTTTGTGATTATTCCTGTAGAAGTTGATACTTAATATCCCCTAATACATATTCACAGGAAGAACCCAGTTCTTTATTTCCTCCGTGACTATACCCGTTTTTAAAGAATGCTCATCTGACATTTAAGTACATATTGATTGCCATGCAAGATGTGGAAGCTGAAATATGATCTCATTTGATGTTTACAGACTGGTTTGATGGACTTCACACATTTATGAGGTACATATGCCATAAGAGCTGGTTGGGTGGATGGTTTATGCCTCAGAAAAAGAGTTATTTTGCTCTGCAGCTTCCCAAAGGATGGTGGGTGTTTGGTTTTGATCAAGCTCTGCATGGTGACATTGATGTCTACCAGTTCAAATTTTTTGCAGAGTTGTGCCAACATAAGGTATATTAGCTTTACATTCCTTCTACGATAGTTCTGTCATTTTGATTTCCTGTGTTTACGTGGGATTTCAATCATGTTCTGTTGATTACATAAACTATTTATACATGCAACCATGAGATGCTTCTTCAAAATACAGCATCTTCTATGCTAGTTTGAATCCAAACTAATGATTTCACTTTGGTATGAATGTTTAGTGGTTCTCCTATTGTAGATTGAGATAAACGAAGTTATATGGTGCATTATGGTCTAATTTAATTGAAAAGACTAAAGGTTTGCTTTAATGTGCATTGTTAGATGGGTGGATGGGCTATCAGTTCAAGCACTAACTGAAACAGGCAAAACATATTTCTAGCTTCCTTTGACTATATTCCGACACCATATATTGTCATTAAGGGATGTACCTGTTATCCTGATTTGAAATGTTAATTAATCTTTTCAAATGAATAAGATGGGGTGAGGCTAATGATGAGTTTTGAATGAATAAGGTTGTCCATTTTGTTTGGGAAGTTCACACATGATGCAACAACACCTGTTGCCACGCACATACCCTGTTTGAAACAATTTTTGGTGGGGCCGTTCGCAATAAGTCAACTTTCCAGCTCACTTGAGTGGGTACATCGGGGAAGGCAGGGAACAAAGAAGCTTGAAAGATGCCTCCTCTTCATCGTACTAAACATAGCCCAAAATTTCACTTATAGGGTCCCTTTGAATTTAATCTTGATTCCTTTTGAAATATCTTAAAGAAAACAATGATTAATATTCTTTAACTTTTAGAATAAAAAATAGTTTTCTTTGTGTATTACAAATTTTGAAATTAATGCCTCCTTTTAAACCAAATCTTCTTACAATAATTTTCTCCATATTTTTTATGGATTTTATTTTATTTGATCATATATTTTTTTTGAATTATTTCTTGTATTTTAAGCTGGAATTCATTTATATAAAGGGGTGCAGAGGTAGGTTATAGTTTTGCAAGTGCCATCGAATAAATGTATATTACTTTGCTCTATAAGATATCTTCTTGTATTGCCCATGGGTTTTCCTCTGCCTTATTATATTCACCTAATGTGATCACTGGCGGATATTTGGGGGGGGGGGGGGCGGGGGGGGGGGGGGGGGGTTTCTTTATAAAATCAAGCAGCCATTTGCGGAAATTTTTTTTTTCACTACTTCTCTCTCCTCTCTACTCTATCTCTCTCTATATTGCCATTTTTACCGCTGGCAACCTTTTGTAGTTGCTACTAGTTATAGCCCTCTTTCCTCTCTCTCTCTCTCTCTCCCCCATGAGGGTGAGATTACTTTAAATTTTTTTATTTATTTCCCACTATCTCTCTTGTGAGGTTAGCTATTTTTTGTTGATTTTTATTAAATCATCTTAATCCTTTTTTTTCTCATTTATATTTCTCTCTTTATTTATATATTTTCCCATTTTAATCATTTAACTTCACATTACCATTTTTTTAATTTATAATTGTTTTAAAATCTCCATTTTTTTTTATAAGAAATTTATATAATTAAAGCCAACAAAATACACTAGAGAAACATTACAATATTTAAATTTAAATCAAATAGCTTAAAATACGCTAATTATAATTTTTTATATATTTTTATATTAATAAGATGTAGTTTTTTTATATATTTATTGCTCGTTATAAAATATTTTTTAATTATTATTTTTTATTTAAATTAGATATAAAAACCTTAAGTTAGATATTTAAAAAAAATTAAAACCCCAATATCAATTTCAAGCTCGAATGAAAAAGCTTGATGTTATTTTTCAAATTAGAAATTTGTGCCCCCCACAAAGAAATAATTATGGCTACGCCGCTGCATGTGATTATGGTTTTTTTGGATGCGCATCTTCTTATATGTAGTGTCTTTTTTATTGAATAGTATTTTGCTAATTACCTTTTTTATAGCAAAATCAATTTTATTTTGCCACATGAGTTCGTTGTTTGTTATAAAGCTTGAGAACTATGAAATGCCTCCATAATTTTTGCTAGTTGGGATCCACACTCATCAATACTTTTGCCCTCATTCCACTACCAACTCATTAATGCGGGAGATCTCTACTGCCTGCATGTCAATATGTAGACTATTATAATTAATTTATAATCATTATTTTACATACTCATTTATTTGTGGATTATTATAATTATTTTATAATTTTGTAATTATTACTCTCTAAAATTGTTTGTTTTCTATTAGAAGCTCTTTTATAATTGTACAATTATGATGGATCGACGGAGCCTGTGGTCCCCACTAGCAGGGATGGTGGGCAAGAAAAGAGGGGGTTCCAAAGGGGAATAAATCCATCTTTAACTACTTTCCATAGGAAATGGGGGCTGATTTGAATTCAGATTTGGGAGAGAATTAGGAAAGATTAATTTAAGGAAAGGGGGCTGATTTGACTTAATATTTGAGAGGGGATTAGGAAAGATATATTTAAGGAAAGGAGGCTGTTTTTAATTGAGATTTGGGAGGGAATTAGGGAGGCTTATATAAAGCTAATTAGTTAGTTTACTTTCATTATGTAATTGTGTTTGCTGTAGTTTTTTTTTTGGAGTTGTTCCTAGCGTCGCTTAGGGTTTGTAGAAAGCCGTTCTACCTCTTGAATAGTAGATTAACCTATATCTTGGTTTATTGTGCCTTTAGCAAAGAGAGTTAGCCTATAATCTCTTCCTTTCTTGCTGATTTCTGCTGTGTTTTTTTCCTTTGGCAATGCTGTTTTTGCTGTGAGGTGATCAGATTCCTTTCAAATTGGTATTAGAACACTTTTTGGGATCTATGACGGCTAAGAAAGTGGATGTTTTTGAAGTGAAACTAAAATGAGAAGTTGGCTAACTCAAATCTGAAGTTGAGGAACGGTTTTCATCTATGAAAGGAAGGTTTTCTAACTTAGTTGACATGATGAAGAAAATATTGAAGCTTCACACCCAACTGGCTACATCGGAGGTGAGAGCATCGACGGGTGGCCAAGGAATTAGGGGACCCCCAATATCGACACTATGAGGGATGGTTGAGAAGTAAAAATCTTGGGTGACAGGGAAAATATGCCACCTCTTGAACTGATAATGAGGGAAATGAGTGAAGGATATGGCATGAGGAGAAATTGGATGGAAGAAATGAGGAGAGATGATTTTGAGGAAAAATATATCTATGAAAGGAGGGGTGGGAGAGAACAATAGAGAGATCACAACAATCGCCACATGGGAGGAGCCGGAGCTGGAAGATGAAGTTGGAGCGGAGGGGATCCGAGAGTGAAAAAGCTAAAGATGCCCGTTTTTGGAGGGGGGAAGATGCTCATGGATGAATCTAAAGGATGGAGAGGTACTTTGTGACGAATGGGTTGACGAAGGAGGTGAGACTCATGGTGGCGGTTTTATGCTTGAAAGGGAAGGCCTTATCTTTGCATCAGTGGAGAGACACGAGAGATCCAATCCAATCATGAAGGGAGTTCAAAGATAGTTATTTAGAACGTTTCCGAACCAGTCGGGAAGGAGGCTTCTACGAGCAGTTCTTTTCTCTGGTTCAGAAAGGGACAGTGATGGATTATTAGCTGAGGTTTGAACCCTATTGGGGAGGCTATCTGAGACATTGTTGGAGGGGAATTTCATGAAGGGGCTCAACCCAAATATCAGAGCTATTGTCCGATTATTGAGGCCACGAGGGTTGGGGGAGGCTATGGAGCTAGCCCAGATGGTGGAGGACAAAAACTCACTTGAGAGTAGAAATAAGGGCCTCAGTTAGGGAAAGTCAGAGTGAAGGAGTGGAAAAGCTCGGTAAATAAAAGATGCAATGGGAGGTTCTAGAGTCGAAAATTGGAAAATATATTCACTATAGAGGATTGCTGCAGAAAGAAAATTTGGTGATCAAAATTTTAATGGTATCAATGTTCTTATGGATTGCTGCTTTGTTGAACAACAGACTGTGTTGATGCTTTTTAGTTTTGGGGATGCTACAGCTAAAAGTAAGGGGTCGCCAGAGAAGTTGTTTGTGTTTCTAGACATGTATGAAATAATGCATGAGTTTTATTATGAGATTGAAATGATATTTGAAGAAAAACTTATTCTGAGACGAGGGATACTACTCATAATCTTTCAAGGTGCTTAGCCCAAACTACTCACAAAACTTTTGGCGATTTTAAGGAAACATTTGAAGCTGATGCAACAAAAACTAGTGTGATGGATGGAACTGTGCACCCTCTGACTAACTATGTGATTAACTAGGTGTAGTTTTTATTTGACTATCAATCAACTTTGAAGTAGTTTTTTCAGGAGTTTGAAAAGATGGGAAAAGATTCAACTTCCCAACTGACAACTGTTACAATGCAAATTATGCAAGCTTTTCAAAGTAACCTGGATGGTAAACTTAAGCTATATAAGGATCCTGCGTTGACTTATCTATTCATTATGAATAACATCCACTACATGGTTAGATCTGTTCGAAGATTAGAGGCAAAGGATTTATTGGGTGATGATTGGGTTCAGAGGCACAAAAGAATTATGCAACAAAATGTAAGTGATTTGTCGGCTTTGTATTACAACAAATGAAATGAAAGAATTCAGAGTCTGGCTTTAAATTCGGAAGCTTGTGAGATGACATGTTGAGCATTTTGAAAAAATTCACAACATCGCACACAAAGCAATCAATGATAGATCTTAGGGGATGCTAAAGATTCATGCAACAAAGCCTTTGGAGGCTTGAGGGGGCTCCAAGTGCCATGCATGAAAGAGATGCATGTGCAAGAGAGTTCCCTAATCTTCTATGAATGTTTTGGATTTATTGGAAAGATAGGATGTTCATTTAAAAGCCTCTTAATGAATCTTGGAGATCTATTTTGTCATGATCTAAGAGTGTGCCTGAGATGACTTATCATTTTAGGAGTTTTAAGGGATCTCCAAGCTATTTAAATCATCTAATTTAAAGTGCATAAATAAGCTTAAATAATTTTGAGGTATGGAGTTTATCTTATGAACCTTTAAATGTTCATATGAAACTCCTAATTCACTTTGTAGAAACTTGAAATTAAATGAGCATATTTATGGACTTTGTATATGTTTCAAGGCGTCAAAGATCAATTCAATCAATTACTTTGCCATGGGTCCTATACCTATGGCATAGGACTTTGAGGGTCTACGTAGGGTCCACGAAGAGACACAAGTTCCCTAATTTAATTGAATTTCTCTCTAAACATTTATAAAAAATCACAAAAATTCTTTGAATGCACATTCCTAATACAATGCAAGCTCCCATTTTTAAAACATATACATTGACATTTCGTTTAAAGGCAAATGATAATGCTAGCCTATGGTTTAATTATAGGTGACGGCTAAGGAAGCAAAATGAATGTAAAAACATGTATTCGGGAGGTGTCGGATTCCGATCCAACACCCCTACGCGCGTCGATATTCTCCTCGGGCTCTCACATGGGAGCAAACAAGTGGAAATCTCCAGATTTCCACTATTTTACAGAGAGGACAGCAAACATGGGTTTATTTTGGGATTTTGGAAAGCATAGTGCATGGTTTTCTAAGGTCCTAAGGCATGTGGAGCATCATATACACATCAAAGGGTTCGAGGACGTAGGCTTTGCTAAGTTTTTTACGGGATTTACCTCGCCGGGTTGTCATGGCATTAACCACACTCCACTCGCCTTGCAAAGAGAGAAAACAACAACTAGGACAGCGAAATCTGCTGTCCGAGAGACTCCAGATGCTGTTTTGGCCGCTTCTAGGTGTTTCTCTCGCTGTCTCAAGTTTGTCGGCATTGGTTTGAGAGAGAAAGGAAGCTCCCAAGCCTTCTGGATGCAGGAATGAAGGTCTGAATTGTTGGATTCGACCTAGAAGCAAGTAGGGAAGAGGCTAAATAGGATTTTCTTCTCGGTTTGGATGGTCAAGGCATGCAAGGATACTTAGGGTTGCTGCTGGGTTCTTCCTTGGTCGTGCGATAGCAAGAGAATCGCGGCTCTGGCTCTTTCGCTTGATTTCACGGACATGGGAGGCCCGACGACCTTCCCTCCTTGGGCTGGACAAACACACGTAGAGCCGAACTGCTCTGCTCTGTCTCTCTGTCTGTTTGACACACACGAACAAAGCCGGGCAGGGTCCGCTCTCCCTCTTGATCTCGTTTGAACAAACACACAAAGGCACAGGTCGGGCCGTCCTAGTCTTCCGTCTCCCGCTCTGGTGCTGCCTTCCTCTCTTTTGTTGAGACGCACACGAGCAAAGAGGCTGAATGCCCCTGTCCACTCTCTCCCATCTTCTCTATACTCGAAATGAGGCTCATGCACACTCAAGTATTTATGCTGCAATATCCATGTTGAAGCCGCCCAAATAAGATGATTTGACGGAAAATCAGCCACAAAAATTTGAAAATCGGGATAAATCACAGCCCTTGGATGCAGGATCTAATTTGGAGAGGTCAGTTGGGCTGAGATTGGGCCAATTGGGCTGAAATTGGCCCAAATTGGGCTCGACCTGAGCCAATTTGGGTCAATTGGGGTCCGATTGGGTTTGATCGAGCCAATTTAGTGAAATTGGACTTGATTTGGCACTAAAATGCGTCAAATTTGGTTCGACGGGGCTTGATGAGGCCCGATTTAGGGTCGATTCGATTGATTTGAGTTTAATTTTATAAAATTAAATTTAATTTGATTAAATTGAGGTCCAATTTGAGTAAATTGACGATCAAGCTCACTCATGCCCAATCGGGCTCGAATTGACTCGATCCTGGCTGAATTGGCCTCGATGTGAAAATGCACGTCAACATTTTCCTTTGGTTTTGTTGTTTTTGCTGTGAGGAGATCAGATTCTTATCAAAATACTGCAAAAAATATGGGAATGAAACACTCAATCATTGGGCGAACATATATGGTGTACTTCGTGTTCCATTCTATTGCTTGCATGTATTTTAGCATACTTTATGCTTCATTCTATTGCTTGCAGGCATTCCACCATTTGATTTGATCTACAAATCTATTTGAGGTTGGCTTTATGTGTCATTCATCTGCCACTAACTTTGGTTTACTCGCAATTTTTTGTCTCAAAAATCAATTATGCCATTTATGAGCAAATGCTTGATTGAACAAACAACTTTTAATTGCATTTCTAGTGGCTGTTGAGAAGCCAAATAACATGCTTGTTATGCTTTTACCGTAAGAGGGAGCATTGTGTACAATGCACATTTTGAAGGCCACTATTGTAACTACTTTGTTGGTAAATACCATATAAAAGATGGTTCTCTAAACGATAAATATGCATATAGCTTATTAAGCTTCCTCGGTATAGCATTTTTTTCATCTTTTTGTGCATTATTGTTGAGATCCAGTTTTATAAACCATGTCTATCAGATCATTAAGCGGATGGTGAAAACACAAATTGGTTGTGAATTTTTTATTTTGATTTTTTGAGAAGGGAAGAATACCAACGTAAAAGGGAGAACTAAAGATATAATGAGAAAAAAATATGAATTAAAATCTCAAAAGAAGAGTGATGTGAGATAGGGAGGAAGCAATCAAGAAGAAACCTTAGAAGGGAGGACAAAGTCCCCAAAGGGGATGCTTGATAAAAAAACTGTTAAACTTCATCTTCAAGTCTGGCAGAATTACAAGATTTTGGGCTCTGTTTATAGAAGTAGGCTTTTTTGTATTTAATAAAGCAACCTTTTAAATAAATATGAATATTACAAACTGATCCAAATGAGGAAAAACAATATAAAATAAGTGTCCAAACATGATATACTTAGACAAATAAGACTCAATACTAATAATAGGGTTGAGAGTGTAGTTCAAAGATCTAATCGATTTTTGGCCTAGATGAAGCCAAATGAATTGAGACATGAGCCAAAATTTTCATTCAGTCCAATCTTCAAAACAAGCTTTAGCTCAAATATAAATGGTATATAAAATTTTAATGCTTACTTACACACGCATATACATATATACATGTAAAAATGTCATAAATATGAATTTGTTTGAACAAAATAACATTAAAAGTAAAAAAAACCGTGATTTCAAGTTGAGTTGATCAAGTCAAGCTAGTTCAATATTAGGCTAATTCAAGCTAAACCAACTTAAATTGAACTGGTTTTGAGCCATTAGCTGATTTTTAGCTGACCTATATATGTTCGAGTCAATTTCAAGCAAGATTGGATCAGCTTGAATTTGGATTGTCATCACCAACTAATAGCTAGAGAGAAACATTTTGCATTGCACAATTCTTTTGGGTTTTAAAGATCTTTTCTTTATTGAGTTGAAATTTTATTGATGGAAGAATTAGAGTTCTTTGACTACATTGTAATTCTATTGGTGGAAGAATTAGAGTTCTTTGACTACATTGTAAAACTAGTGAAATTTATCCTGAAAGGGAAGATGAATGGGAATCCTTCCTAAAGAAGAGGTATCTATTGATTTGAACTTTTGTGCAACAATTTATTTTCCTGTTGTTTACAGTATGTTTTTGTTCTTAGTGATGCTTTTAATGTTAAATTAGCCTGCTCCACTTCACGTAGAATTATGGAAAAGTTTTACAGGTTGGGGACAACGACTCTATTGTTGTGATGACACATGAACCAACCTGGCTTCTCGATTGGTATTGGAATGATAGCACTGGTAAAAATGTCTCTCATTTGATACGTGATTACATGAAAGGAAGATGTAAGCTTCGTATGGCTGGAGACTTGCACCATTATATGCGCCATTCTTGTGTCCCTTCAGATCAGCCTGTGTGTGTTGAACATCTACTTGTGAATGGTTGTGGTGGAGCCTTTCTACATCCAACGCACGTCTTCAGAAACTTCAACAAATTTTATGAAAATTCCTATGAATGCAAAGCTACATATCCTTCTTATGAGGACTCCAGTAGGGTAAGTTGGCCTCCCTCCTTTTTTTTCTTTAAAATTTTTTACAGAGCATCTTGCAATTTTTTTAACATTTTATTTATTTGTTTTTTTATTATAATTTCTGCCCATATAATTTAGTAAGACTGCATTTGCAGATAGCACTTGGCAACATTTTAAAGTTCCGAAAGAAGAATTGGCAATTTGATGTCATTGGTGGTTTCATATACTTCGTAATTGTCTTTTCCATGTTTCCTCAGGTAATACTGCTTGCAATAATAATTCCTTTTTCTATATATTTTGTATGGTTAATATTTTGTTATTTTCTTCTATTGCCGATATCCTAATTTCCTTGATCAGATTGTATGGTTTTCTCATGCGTGTGATTTGGTTGGTGGCTTCAAGTTTTTGCAGGCTGTTCCTTTTTTTCCCTGTAATTCTGACAAAAAAAAATCATATTTTAATGCGGAAGGCTGCACTCATCAACTGCTGGCGGCAACTGATGTAACCCATTTTAATTAGCAAATTAATGCTCCACTCCTTGTTCTCTGCGTTTAGATTGTCATGCTTGGTATGCCTAGGAAAACGAATATTACCTAGATTTAAGATTTTTTATCCAAAAATAAGATATTTCACTTAGAAATAGGGTACTTCAGGGGGAATGAGGTGAAACATCTTATTTTTTTGGTGAAATAGCTTATTTTTTTGGTGAAATATCTTATTCCTGTAAGAATGACCTTATATTTGGATGAATTCCCTTAATTACGGGTGTGCAAGAGATAAGGACTTATGAAGCCAGATATGAATTGGTTTATTTTAAAAATGTCACATTGGCTTCTTCATGAGCAGCTGATGCTGTAACAATTTAAATCTGGATATATTTGGATGTTATAGATTTTTTTCTTTTTTGATACCATTTCTGATTAAGTTGATTGTTGAAGACAAAAACACATTGAAATAACTTCAATATGTAAATTTTCTCAATTTGTTTCTTTGGTTTATTGTTTATCATACTATTAGTACTTAGTCTAATCAGGTATGTAACATGATTATATTTGAATCTCCTTATATCTTGAAAACCTTGAAACATGATTTGCATCTGCAATCTTATACCTGTAATTTAATCAGTTAGGATCAGGGCTGTATTGTTTTTATTGAAAATTTTTTTGTAAGTAACAAGACTATATTTGAATATCTGTAATTTAATCAGTTAGGTCCGGGCTGTTTTAGTATTATTGAAGTATTTTCTTTTAAGAATTTTGAATTTGGGGGGAGGTGTTCAGTATCTGATTGATGATTCCTGTCCCTCATTTCCCCCTGCACATGATCTCTTTGCAAGCACCGTCTAAATTTCAGGGAAATAGACTGATCCTAGCCTTTTCATTTCAGTGTGGTGTATTCCAAATTCTTCATGATGATTCTTGGTCGGGTCGCTGCAAGAGCTTTGCTAATGCAATGTGGAGAGCTTTTATTTACATGATAGAACATTCTTATGTGTCTTCTGCTGGAACTTTGCTGTTGGTATTACTATCGTATTCATTTATCCCTACGAAGCTGTCTTGGAAAAGGCGGGCTGTTATTGGAATTCTTCATATTTCAGCTCATATAGCGGCAGCCATTATTCTAATGATGCTACTGGAAATGGCTATCGATATATGCATCCGTAATCACTTACTAGCTACTTCAGGTATTCTAATTGATTTTGATGGTATTATTTATTGCAACATAGCATGGTACATGGAAATTAGTCACTTATTTAGCTTTTGAATGACATTTTTTTTGCTTATTGTGAAATGTGGTTGTCAAACTTTCATATAAATGTGGGATATTTTGGTACTGGTAATGCTGGGTGATACATTATTATATTATCATGGTTTCCTTTTTCAATTTGTCATTCATTTCTCTCTAAAAGTTTTTTATTTGAAATGAATATCTATACTGATTATGGTGGTGGGAGGATCTTTAATGTCTGAAGGCACTCTCGTACTCATGGTGGGTTGTAGTCCTTAATTTTAACTGTCTCATCAACTCGTTCCTCCTTAACCTTTTCAAGAGGGGAAAATGAAGACTCCCAAAAACTTAAGCATCTCTCGCATATTTTTGTTATGTCCACCTCCCTACTGCAGAGTTTTTTGGCCCTCATAAAGTAAAAGGAAGAGAAGAACATATGATTCAAAAAAGAAATGCAAGCCTTGGTGCGGATTAGATTGTGTTAGGTTTTATGGTGTATTGAAGTGGAGGCCTAAATATGTGATAAGTAGAGTTGTGCACGAACTGTTTTCCCTCCTCTAGAAGATTTTAATCATTATTTAGAAGAGAATATGTAACATGCAAGGCAATTATTAGGTGATTTGCTCGTTTAGATTTGTCTTAATAAGATATAAACATTTTTATTCCTAATTCTATTAATATTTATAGTTATACTAATTAATTATACCTATATCTAGCCATAGTTTATAGGAAATAATTGATGCATTAATAAATGCTTAATTAAATGTTGATATCTCCCATCAAATTTATGTTCATTTGTCAAGAAGCATCAATTTCCAACAAAAAATAGATGTCTTTTTTTTTTCACATCATAGCTTTTATAATTATATTTGGACGATAAATAATTTCAGTATCAAAAGCTTCCCCAAATTTAGAGATAGTGAGATGTTTTGTTTGTAACTTTGTATGTAGAGGAGAGATTGTTCTAAGGAAACCCAAGTTCAAATGGAAGTCTATGAAGTTAGATAAACTCTAAACATGTTGTAGACATTGCTTGGTATTCATACTCGTAAATCATTTAGACACGCAGAGCTATTTCTAAATATTTTAAGAAGATCAATGGATCATTAAGGAACATACACCAACCTATGACTGAGTGTTGAGTATAAGGACACCTGACCTAGTCCAAATCACTATAGCCCATAAGATGAAGATGAGAACGAAATTGAAAGAACAAGAAATGGAAGGTGTCCCAACAAGATATTGAATGATTCGGTAAGTGACAACTATATATAAGTGACATGAATTTTGCATAAATTGACTTACTCAAGTGTGAAGGAAATTTCTGGTCGAGCAACTATCAAATAGTTTAAGCACACAACTCACCTTGACCTATTGGTTGGGAGTTTAGCTACCAACTAAGAGATCTTGAGTTCGAGTCTTGTGAATGCAATGTGTGTGTGAGTCTGCCTTAATTGGCCTAATTATCCCAAAAAAAGAAGAAGTTTAAGCTTCCTGCCAGTTATCTGAATGTAGTGAGATTAGGAAGAAGTTTGTTTTACTCACTATGATATTTCATGTTTACTTCTAAAGAAATGTTTGCATAGGAGGTATTTTGGAGGCTAGCCTAAGTATTTAGATCCTATGTATATTTGTGTTGGGTCAACTGTACCAGAGACATCAATGTGGATCTCCAAACCTAAGAAAAGATGAAATATTGCGTGAATATGTTATTGTAGATAATTAAAGTCAAACCTGTGCTAGTAATGTTGATATTATCAACAGAAACAAAAAAAAAAAAGCAATCCCAATAAAGGTCTTACAGAGAAATAATGATAAATTCTATTGACTTTTTTTTAAAAAAAGTTGGGTTATTTAAAATTTATGAAAGCATGCATAAGGAGTTTGAATCTTAATCAGGTACAATGGAGACAAATGATTCATATAGCCGACCCCATGTAGTGAGATAAAGGCTTGATGTTGTCGTTGATGTTGTATGTATGAGGAGCATTTTTTGTTCATATTGGATATGCTTTAGTTTGCATACTTCTATAGGAAAAGAGATTGGAACACTATGCGGAAGAGCCATATAAAATTTTCCATTGAGATCACTATAAAGAAAGATATTTTTAACATCCATTTGATGAAAAAGTCGTTCTTGTGAAGCATCAATCGGGATTATCTATCTTATTGTGGTCATTTTTGCTACAAGAGCAAAAATGTATTTATATTCAATCCCATATTCTTGTTTGTTGCCAAGGACAATTAATTGTACTTTGTTGTGATCCAAGGTACCATACGAGTAAAATTTGGTTAAGTAAACCTTTTGCTTCATATAACTTAATATTTCAAGGAAATTGAATAATCTCCAAAGTATGATTAGCCGCTAAAGTTTGAAGTGCTTTAGCCATAGCCTCTTTCCAACAATCATGCTTGCTATGAATAGCTTGAAGGAATAGGTCAGGGCCAATGTAATGTGAAAGCAATGCCAATTTGGAGGATGTGAGTTTCTGAAATATCATTTGAGATTAGTGCCTAAATTCTAGTCAGCAAGCTCTTACGATGGATTACTTTGCACATGCTAAGATTTCTCATTGAAAACCTTCCGCGCATGCAACATTAGAGTAATTGATTGTTTTAAGATCTTTACAGCTACACATGTGATTTGGCCTAAGCTTGTTTTATCGTCTTAATATTTTATCTTATCGTTTAAATCAATATAAATTTTGCTTATTATTATTCTCTAAAATTTAAGCGTGCTAAAATCCTGAATCAATATCACCTAAGCATTAGAGTCCTGCATCACCCTCTTCTTGGAGCTTAGGCTCTCTTCCCCTTTTTTCTCTCATTCTATCAGGAATTGTGGGCACCCTGTATTGCTCAAGGCCTTCTCCCCTCTACTAGGAGCTTTAGGTTAGCTAAAATGCCCTGGTTATTCCCTCCCAATCTTTCTTCTTATCTTCGATTTCAACTTTCTTCATCTTTCCTAATCAATAAAACTCAATTAGAGCATTAAATAAAATTTAAATAATAACTTTGTTAATGATTACAATTTCAATTATATAAATTCTTCTAGTAAACTTTTGTTACTTTATTGTTGACTTGTGTTAGTCTTGCTCCTTCATAATAAAAGTCAATATCAAGATCTTTCCCTTGTAATTATGATGTTGTAACTTTATTGTCATTCTCTATAAATCTTTCCTTATTTGATGACATATCATTACAAACTAATGGATTTATCATTTTCCTAAATTGTATACTGCAAATATTTATCTTTTAATCTCTTGTTGTATATAATATAAATCAATGAGTTCATCCTTCATAAATGATTTTTTTCTGTTGGTACAATTAACATAGTTATGAAGTACCACCATTCTTGTTATCCTCCACATTCGTTATATATTGATCTATAGGTCTTCTTGTATCTCTGTTGAACATTTGTGACGAAGAGGAAGATGAACCTTTACAACATTCTTATGACAAATAGAAAGATGTTCTTTAACTTTGGTTATGTTGAAATCCATCCGTTCCTAGTGCAAAGGATCCGACGGACACAAAGATCAATCCGTGGGATACTCTCATGGATCACACCATAATGAGGAACGAATTTAGGAAAGATTTTATTTTCTTATTTATGTATTAAATCTGCAATTTATTATTTTCTCATTAGAATATCTTGTATAGATCTATAAATAGGGAAGATTGTAATGAATAAAGACAAGCTTTTCCCTCTCGAATTCTCGTTTTAACATGGTATCGGAGCCAACGGCCTTAATTGCCGTCGGTGAACGATCTTAGATCGTCGAGGGAGGATAGTCAGACAGCCAAGAACCAGACGAAGGAGCCCGACCCCTCTCTGCTTTCTTGCCCGGCTAGAGGACCGCAAGCTCGAAACAAACGGAGCGGAAGTCCCGGCTTGACCGTCTCGTCACCTGGTATCGCACGACTTCCCTCTTCCGTCGTGCTACCAGAATCGCACGAGCGTCTTGCCCTTGAGAGTCGAGCAGCTTGTTTCAATTCATCGAGACGCTGCTGGTCGAGCGAGAGAAATCGCGTTCAAGCGAGGAGTTACTGCTCGAGCGAGGACCCGTCTGATCCGACCGGCCAATTTCTTCTCGAACGCTCAACCCGGCGTTCCATCCGAACGTACTTGCCGCCGCTTTCCTTTTCTTCGTCGACGCTCACCTGTAACTGTGAGCGTGTTGTCGTCTTCGTCGTCCCGGCATATCGAAGACAAATTCGTAGGCCGACGTCAGCTCCTTGACGTCGGCAGGCGTGGAAGCCATCGCCGCGTGTCACGAACATAAGTCCTCGAAGGGGAGTTGACAGGCGTGGAAGCCATCGCCCAATTCGACGCCCTCTCTGTCACTAGCCTTCGCTCAGTGAAGAGACCGGTCCTAATCCCGATCCGGGCTTCTTAAGAAACTTGGCTGGTTAAAAAAAAAAAAATCTTTTGACCTTTATTGTCGAACAAGAAAATTCTAGGAAGCCTTAATTGCTTTCCAATGTAAGAAATCAACTCCTCTCAAAGTGTTGATCAAACTGAGGAATCAATGGTGCACCAAGGACGAGGTGACCTTCAAAGCATTCAACCTTCCTATCGTCTAAATGGGAAGAACTACCTGTAGTGGTCTCAATTCGTGAAGACCTACTTGAAGGGGAAAGGTAAAATACATCATCTCCTTGGAGGAGGACCAAAAGAAGGAGATCCCAAATTTGGGGCATGGGATGAAGCAGACTCCATGATTATGTCATGGATGTGGAATTCCATGACTCCAGAAATTAATGACACATTTATGTTCCTTTCAACGGCAAATGACATATGGGATGCTGCCAGACAAACCTACTCCAAAGCTCGTGACGCGGCCCAAATCTTTGAAGTTAAAGTCAAAGTTGGAAGCACGAAGCAGGGGAGTAAGACTGTGACGGAATATGCCACCATTCTACAAAATCTGTGGCAAGAACTTGATCACTATAGGTGCATTGAAACCAGATGTCCGGAGGATGCTGCGATCCTAAAGAACTTTATTGAAAAAGATAGAGTTTATGATTTTCTTGCAGGACTCAATGCAGAATTTGATCAAGTTAGAGTTCAGATCCTCGGCAAGGAGGAGACGCCATCACTCAACGAAACCATTTCTCTCATCCGCGCAGAAGAAAGTCGA